TGCCTAGAGGGAACAATTCCATAGGCATTTGTATGCCTTCCAATGTCATCCTTATGGCCAACATCTAGCAGAAGTTGATCATAGTGCATGCTGGAAGACATAGAGATACCTAGAGGGAATACTTCCATAGGCATTTGTAGGACCTGTAGTGCCATACTATGGCAAACATCTTGCAGAAGTTGACTGTAGTGTCATGCTGGAAGACATAGAGATGTCTAGAGTGAACACTTCCATAGCCATTTGTATGCTTTCCAGTGCCATCCTATGGCCAACATCTAGCAGAAGTTGATCATAGTGCATTCTGGAAGACATAGAGATGCCTAGAGGGAATACTTCCATAGGCATTTATAGGCCCTCCAGTGTCATTCTATAGCCAAAGTCTAGCAAAAATTGACCATAGCATCATACTGGAAGACATAGAGAAGTCTAGCAGGAACGCTTCAATAGGCATTTATATGCCTTCCAGTGCCATCCTATGGCCAATGTCTAGCAGAAGTTGGCCATAGCATCATGCTGGAAGACATAGAGGTGTCTAGAGGGAGTACTTCCATAGTCATTTGTTGGCCCTTCAGTGCCATACTATGGCCAGCATCTAGCAGAAGTTGACCATAGCGTCATGCTGGAAGACATAGAGATGTCTAGAGGGAATACTTCCATAGGCATTTGTAGGCCCTCCAGTGTCATTCTATAGTCAACGTCTAGCAAAAGTTGACCATAGCATCATAGTGGAAGACATAGAGGGAACAATTCCATAGGCATCTGTAGGACTTCCAGTGCCATTTTTTGGGCAACTTCTAGCAGAGGTTGACCACAGCATCATGCTGGAAGACATATTTATTTATCGTGTCATCAGCAACCATACCATTGTATTAAATTTCTAACAGAACAAAACAAACACACAGATTAAAAAACAACAACAAAAAAAAACACAGATTTTGCAAACTTGGTAGTTGGTTAAATGTCCTTTGACCAGTATCTGGCCACTTGGAGTGCCTCTGGTGTTGCCGCAAGAAGGTCCTCCATTATGCATGTGGCAGGGCTCAGGGTGCATTGCAGCAGGTGGTCAGTGGTTTGTTCTTCTCCACACTCGCATGCCGTGGATTCCACCCTGTAGCCCCATTTCTTAAGATTGGCTCTGCATCAGGCAGAGGGAATACTTCCATAGGCATTTGTAGGCCCTGCAGTACCATACTATGGCTAACATCTAGCAAAAGTTGACTATAGTATCATGCTGGAAGACATAGAGATGCCTAGAGGGAATGCTTCCATAGGCATTTGTAGGCCCTCCAGTGTCATTCTATAGTCAACTTCTAGCAAAAGTTGACCATAGTGTCATACCGGAAGACATTGAGAAGTCTAGAGGGAACACTCCAATAGTCATTTGTATGCCTTCCAGTGCCATCCTATGGCCAACGTCTAACAGAAGTTGATCATAGTGCATTCTGGAAGACATAGAGATGCCTAGAGGAAATGCTTCCATAGGCATTTGTAGGCCCTCCAATGTCATTCTTTGGCCAACGTCTAGCAAAGTTGACCATAGCGTCATACTGGAAGACATAGAGAAGTCTAGAAGGTACAATTCCATAGGCATCTGTAGGACCTCCAGTGCCATTCTTTGGGCAACGTCTAGCAGAAGTTGACCATAGCATCATGCTGGAAGACACAGAGATGCCTAGAGGGAACTCTTCCATAGGCATTTGTAAACCCTCCAGGGTCATTCTATGGCTGACGTCTAGCAGAAGTTGTCCATAATGTCATGCTGGAAGACAGAGAAATAGAGGGAATGCTTCAATTGGCTTTTGTAGGCCTTCCAGTGTCATTCTGTGGCCTATGTTTAGTGGAAGTTGGCCATAGCATCATGCTTTGTTCGGTCGTACTTCGTATTGTGATTCCAGTGTTGATGAAGGCTTTTTTTGGAATTTTTACAGTGGAATGAATGGAGTGATTTTAAATGGATGGATGAATAGGGTGGTGGCAGCTTTTTAATAGCCCATCTTTCCCTCTATATACCATCTTTTATGCCTCCCATTGATTTCGATTAAGGGATCGTTTTAAAATAGGAAAGATGGAATCAGACCTAAATTTGGTGATTTAATGTAAGCTTATGCTCTGCCAGCGCATCCAGAGAGTTATATAAATTGCTTAAATTGCAATGCAAAACATTATTATTATATATGTTTTTGTTAAAAAGTACATGGAGAAAGTAAGGCGAAGAGAAAGACGTGGTCAAAAGAAGAGACGGAAACACAGTTGAGCAATTTTGGTCTGTTTTGTTGGCTCTTAGGATATTTAACAAGGGAAAAAGAACAAAGCTTTGGTCTGCTTTCTATCCCATTTTGTTCCAGGAAGTATGTGTTTTTGAAATGTCAAAAAACTTCAAGCCTCTCATGTGGAAGCTTTTAAACAAGCTTGCTGAACTTTGATGGAGACCTCTGGATGAAGAGTTGAACTTCTGACACCGCCGGGGCTGCCTCCGCTTTGATATGAATGCAGGGCTGGAAAGAGGGGGGGAATAATGCAATAAATATGGGTAGACCCCCCCCCCCCTGCGGGCCCTAGTACAACCAAGAATCAGTTGCGCTAGAGGCAATGCATCCTCTGGTACCTTTGAAGAAAGAGCTGCTCGCCCCTCAGCCCTCTTTCTCCCCTGATGTTGCTTCATTGCAGACTTCGCTTGGGTTTTGGATGGGCAAATACACATTCCTGTTATACTCTAATACCCCTTTCCCAACTATCTATATAAATAAAAATGTAATGTTTGTTTGTGGGATTAACAGAACTCAAAAAGCACTGGACGAATTGACTCCAAATTTGGACACAAGACACCTCTCAGGCCAATGAGTGACCATCACTTATAAAAACATCGAAAAAACCCAGCAGAAGGGACTCAAAAAGCCCAAAAACCAAAAAATACATTACAATGCACATGTGCAAAGCCACATATATATACACAAACACATATATACACACAGAGAGAGAAAGGAGGAAGGAAGGAAAAGGAGAGAAGGAGGGGGAGAAGGAAGGAAAGAAGGGTAGAGAAGGAAGGAAGGAGAGAAAGAAGGAAAGAAAGAAAGGTAGAGAAGGAAGGAGGGAGAGAAATAGGGAGAGAAAAAGGGAAAGAAGGAGAGAAGGAAGGAAAAAAAGATGGGTAGGGAAGGAAGGAGAGAAGGAGGGAGAGAAAGAGGGAAGGAGAGAAGGAAGGAAAGAAAGAAGGGCAGAGAAGGAAGGAATGAGAAAAGGAGGGAGAGAAGGAGGGAAGGAGATAAAGAAAGAAAGAAAGAAAGAAAGAAAGAAAGAAAGAAAGAAAGAAAGAAAGAAAGAAAGAAAGAAAGAGAAAGTTAGGGAAGGAAGGAAGGAAGGAAGGAGCGAAAGGGGGAGAAAGAGGAAAAGAAGGAGGAAAGGAGAGAAGGAAAGAAAGAAAGGTAAAGAAGGAAGGAAGGAGAGAAGGAGGGAGAGAAAGATGGAAAGAAGGAGGGAAGGAGAGAAAGAAGGAAAGAAAGAAGGGTAGAGAAGGAAGGAAGAGAAGGAGGGAGAGAATGAAATAAAAAAGTGAAAGAGGGAAGGAAGGAGAGAAGGAACGAAAGAGAGAAAGAGGGAGGGAAGGAAGGAAGGAAGGAAGGAAGGAAGGAAGGAAGGAAGGAAGGAGGAAGGAAGGAAGGAAGGAAGAGACAGAAGGATGGAACCAAAGAGCAAAGGAAGCGAGAAAAGAAACAGGTAGAGAAGGAAAGAAGAAGGGAAAGAAAAAGAGGAAAGGAAGGAAAGAGGGAGGGAAGGAAGGAGAGAAAGAAAGAAGGAGAGAAAGAGGGAGGGAAGGTTGGCCACAGCAACGTGTGGCAGGTACAGCTAGTACATAATAAAAACAAACAGTCAATTTTTGTTTGTGGGATTAACATAACTCAAAATCCACCGGACGCATTGCCGCCAAATTTGGCCACAAGACACCTACTAACCCAAGGAGTGACCATCACTCAAAAAAATGATTTTGCCTTTTGGAAGTTATAGTTCACCTATAATCAAAGAGCACTATGAACTCCACCAATGATGGAATAGAACCAAACTTGGCACACAGAACTCCCAGGACTAACAGAAAATACTGGAAGGGTTTGGTGGACATTGAGTTTTGAAGTTGCAGTTCACCTACATCCAGAGAGCACTATGGAATCAAACAATGATGGATTAGGACCAAAATTGGCACAGATACTCAGTATGCCCAAATGTGAGTTTGGGGGAGTTTGGGGGAAAATAGACCTTGACATTTGGGAGCTGTAGTTGTGGGGATTTATAGTTCACCTACCATCAAAGAGCATTATGAACCTCACCAATGAAAGAATTGAGTAAAACTTCTCACTCAGAACCCCATGACCAACAGAAAATAAAATTGTTTTCCAATAGTCTTTGGCAACCCCTCTAGAATCATAGAATCATAGAGTTGGAAGAGACCTCATGGGCCATCCAGTCCAACCCTCTGCCAAGAAGCAGGAGTATTACATTCAAAGCACCCCTGATAGATGGTCATCCAGCCTCTGTTTAAAAGCTTCCAAAGAAGGAGTCTCCACCACACTCCGGGGCAGAGAGTTCCACTGCTGAACAGCTCTCACAGTAAGGAAGTTCTTCCTCATGTTTAGATGGAATCTCCTTTCTTGTAGTTTGAAGCCATTGCTCTGTGTCCTAGTCTCCAGGGAAGTCTTCCCCCTCGGAACCTTCCCCCACAGGAGTCCCGACCCTTAGGTTGAGAAACACTGGGATAGACAGCCCTCAACTCTACTTGTTAGCATCTTTGTGCAACTATTCATCTTTTCCTTCTTAGCAGAGTTTATATGTAGGGAAGAAATGAAAGAAGTGATGAGAGAAACTAGAAGAAAGAGTCAATCTGTAGACTCCCCCCCCCCCAACAAAACCCCACATTTGAAAATGTGTGATTGCAGAAGAAAGGCCTGTTTGCAAAGAAACTGTTCTCTTTTAACTCCCCAGATTTTACTTTCTCCCTTTTTCTGTTTCAGGGAGCAGCTTTGTTGTGAGCGAGGGAAGCTATCTGGACATCTCTGACTGGCTAAACCCAGCCAAGCTCTCCCTCTATTACCAAATCAATGCCACGTCTCCTTGGGTGAGGGATCTGTGTGGACAGAGGACTACAGATGCCTGCGAACAGCTTTGCGATCCAGATACTGGTAAGTGGATAGAATGAGTTACCCTGCCAGGAGGCCCTTCCTTGAAGTCCATGCAGACTCAATTGAGATGTGGTTGCAGGCAACATGCTCTCCCACCTCCATCACTCTTTTGTTGTTGTTGTTGGGTAACAGCAAGGAGAGATGTGGCACGCTGCTCTTTCCTGGCTCAGATTGATCCTTGGTTTCAAAGAAATACATATCCCCAAGCAAGTGCTGGCAAAAAAATATATAAAAGATTAATTGGATTTGTTCATCCAGGAGCCGTTGAAAGCCAGTGTTGATTTTTCTTCTCCTTTCCCCCTTCGGCTGATGCCTGCCAGTGACAAACTACCAAGCTAGGGAAAGTTTTAAACACAGTTGGGGGAAAAAATCACAGAATGGAGGCGGATTGCTTGGCAGCCCACCCGCATTACGTATGCAAATGCTCCAGCTGTTTCTATTTACTAACATATACGCCCAGCTTTATTTTTAGCACCATTTTCTCCTTTCGGGGGACGTCATATTAGCATTTTACCCAACTGACAAGCCCTAAATTTAGGCAGGCCTTTGGGTAGAAGCAACATACTGTCTTTTGTTGTGATGGTTGATAAATTTATTGGTATTTTATATCACATATAAAACGTCTTCCCCTTAGGAAAATGAAAATGAAATGAAACCTTATACACGTGCTTCCCGGATACAACGATTTGAGTAAACTTAAGGCCTCTCCCGGTGAAATAGAGTGATTTAAACTGGCTGCGGGTAGTGAGACCTGTGCCGCAGATAGTGAAACCCAAAGCGCAGATACCGAGTCCCATTAAGTAAATACTGGTACCAGCAGCAATCCATGTGCCTGGTGAAATGAAGAAGCTAATCCAATGTTCCCAAATAAATCTCACCAAGTTGAAGAAGCAACCACCAAGATATTGTCGAAGGCTTTCATGGCCGGAATCACTGGGTTGTTGTAGGTTTTTTCGGGCTATATGGTCATGTTCTAGAGGCATTCTCCTGACGTTTCACCTGCATCTATGGCAAGCATCCTCAGAGGTAGTGAGGTCTGTTGGAACCCATTTCCTACTTCCAACAGACCTCACTACCTCTGAGGATGCTTGCCATAGATGCAGGTGAAACGTCAGGAGAGAATGCCTCTAGAACATGACCATATAGCCTGAAAAAACCTACAACAACCCAACCACCAAGATATTTTCTTCAAATCCTCTTAAAGTGCAGAGGCTTATCAAATATGGTCTTCTGTGGGCAAGCAGATGGCAATTATTGGGTGGCCTATGTTCTGTATCAGAAACTAGAACTGATGTGGTCTATCCAATGCAATTTTCTGAATCAGCACCCCAAAGAACCAAACCGAATCTAAAGTTGACCAAAAACTGATTTGTAACCCTTTTGGTTATTCATGTTGGAGAGTGGTCCCTGGTCAAAAAGGAAAATTGAGAACTATTGGATTGAGAGGTGGTTAGGCAGACAGATAAAAATATGGTAGATAGATAGATAGATAGATAGATAGATAGATAGATAGATAGATAGATAGATAGATAGACAGATCAATCGGGGATAGATAGATAGATAGATAGATAGAGAGGTGGTTAGGCAGACAGATAGACAGATAGGTATGTAAGTTGGTAGAGATCAAGAGACAGGTAGATAAACATATGATAGGTAGATCAATAGACTGATAGATAGATAGATAGATAGATAGATAGATAGATAGATAGATAGATAGAGAGGTGGTTAGGTAGACGGATAGCCAGACACATGGCGATAGATAGATAGATAGATAGATAGATAGATAGAGAGAGGTAGATAAACAGATGATAGCTAGATCAATAGTCTGATTGATTGATTGATTGATTGATCGATCTATCGTTGATAGATAGATAGATAGATAGATAGATAGATAGATAGATAGATGATATAGAGGTAGTTAGGTAGACGGATAGCTGGACACATGGTGATGATAGATAGATAGATAGATAGATAGATAGATAGATAGACAGACAGACAGACAGACAGATGGAGACAGGTAGATAAACAGATGATAGATAGATCAGTCAACTGATTGATTGATTGATCAATCAATCAATAGATAGATGATAAATAGATAGATGATGGAGATGTGGTTAGGCAGACAGATAGACTGACAGATGGATGGCTAATAGATAGATATTAGATAGATAGGTAGATAGATGTAGATGAACAGATGATAGATCAGTAGATTGTTTGATTGATCAATAGAGATAGATAGATAGATAGATAGATAGATAGATAGATAGATAGATAGTAGATAGATAGATAATAGAGAGGTGGTTAGGCAGACAGATGGTAGATAGATAGATAGATAGATAGATAGATAGATAGATAGATAGATAGATAGATAGATAATAGAGAGGTGGTTTGGCAAACAGATAGACAGATGGTAGATAGATAGATAGATAGATAGATAGATAGATAGATAGATAGATAGATAGACAGACAATAGAGAGGTGGTTTGGCAGACAGAGACAGATGGTAGGTAGGTAGGTAGATGATAAATAGATACATGATAGAGATGTGGTTAGGCAGACAGATAGATAGACAGATGGTTGGCTGGTAGATAGATAAGTAAACAGACAAACAAACAGATAGAGGTAGATAAACAGATGATAGATAGATCAATAGATTGATTGATTGATTGATTGATTGATCGATCAATAGATAGATGATAGACAAGCATGTAGCCGGGGGGGGGGGCTGGGGGGCTTCAGCCCCCCCCCCCCCCCGAAATTCTCATGGTGGTTCGCAAAAAGGCCTTACTGGTGCATTATTTAAACTGTTATGTTTATTCATATCATGATCTGATCACCATACTCAATATATCCCATATGCATGGGGGTATTGGGGTAATGATACAAAAGGTTTGCTAGGTAGACCCTCTTTCACTCAGACTCAGCCCCCCCCGAAACTCAGCCCCCCCCAAACCCCTGAAAAAAAACCCCCCCCCCCCCGAAACGAAATCCTGGCTACGGGCCTGATGATAGATAGACAATAGATAGATAATAGAGAGGTGGTTTGGCAGACAGATAGACAGATGGTAGATAGATAGATAGATAGATAGATAGATAGATAGATAGATAGACGATAGATAGATAGATAGATAGATAGATGGATAGATAATAGAGAGGTGGTTTGGCAGACAGGACAGATGGTAGATAGATAGATAGATAGATAGATAGATAGATAGATAGACAGACAGACGGTAGATAGATAGATAGATGGATAGATAATAGAGAGGTGGTTTGGCAGACAGATAGACAGATGGTAGATAGATAGATAGATAGATAGATAGATAGATAGATAGACAGACGGTAGATAGATAGATAGATGGATAGATAATAGAGAGGTGGTTTGGCAGACAGATAGACAGATGGTAGATAGATAGATAGATAGATAGATAGATAGATAGATAGATAGATAGATAGACGATAGATAGATAAATAGATAGATAGATAGATAGATGGATAGATAATAGAGAGGTGGTTTGGCAGACAGGACAGATGGTAGATAGATAGATAGACAGATGGTAGATAGATAGATAGATGGATAGATAATAGAGAGGTGGTTTGGCAGACAGATAGACAGATGGTAGATAGATAGATAGATAGATAGATAGATAGATAGATAGATAGACAATAGATAGATAGATAGATAGATAGATAGATAGATGGATAGATAATAGAGAGGTGGTTTGGCAGACAGATAGACAGATGGTAGATAGGTAGATAGATAGATAGATAGACGATAGATAGATAGATAGATAGATAGATAGATAGATAGATAGATAGATGGATAGATAATAGAGAGGTGGTTTGGCAGACAGATAGACAGATGGTAGATAGATAGATAGATAGATAGATAGATAGATAGATAGATAGATATAGCGAGACAAATAAAAGTGGAGCTCTTTCAGTGTAAATAAACAATATCCTATGTTTATAAAATGCATTTTTGGCCAAAAGAGCAAGTGTCTCCTTAGGTTTTGATTCAGTCGGAGAAAATGTTATCCAGAATAAACAATAACCGGAGAGGAACCAACACTGTGAGTAATAGGTGCAAGAGAGCCTTTGAGCATTGCATTAATGACGATAGGTCAGTGATCATTGATATTAGAATTCAGATGCCATGTCTTCTGAGTTGAGAAATATCCTGGAAGGGCATGGAAACGTTTCTCAAACGAAACAAGGGAAGTCCAGAGGTCAAAATGTGTTTCCTCCTAGAAAGCTAATGCATCCTCCCAAGGAGGGAGAAATATGTGATTATATTAAGTGTCTCATAGGGATTAAGGCAAGTCGCTTTCCCGAGGGAAGCCAAACGGACGCTTTTGTTTTAAAGCGTTAAGGGTCTCTGCCTGCAAAAAAGGGGGGGGATAAGACAAGCTAATGATGTGCTAAATTGCAACAGCACCTTCATAAAATATTCACCATCTTAAACACGTCTAATATTAAAGATTAAATGTCCTGGGATTTGTCCTAGCCGACTCCAGAGGCCTGATTTATGATCTGCCAGAAGCTGGCTCACTTTGTGATTCATGATGCAAGGTTTCGAAATTTAACCTCTTTGGGAGGGGGAAAAAAAAGAATGGAAGTGGATAAGGGAAGATCTGGCCTTTAAGTGAGCAAGGAGGAGCTGCCCTTTCCCAGGGAGTGGAGGCATTGCTTGAAGGGGTGGCCCCGGCTGCACGCTCATTTGTTTTAGGAACTGGCGCACCAATGGAAAGAGCCATTAATAAGCCATTTTCTTCCTCCGGTGCTTAGCATGCAAGTTTCTCTCTGCCTGGGTCATTAATTCCTCACACTTACTGCATAACAAATATGTGTTCTGCAATCAAGCCGCGTTGGGAAAGCGCTTGCAAAGCAGACCAGCCAGACAACAGGGTTCTTCATCAGGGGAAAGGCAAATATTTCTTTTTCCTCTCATTTTTGTCTTTTTTCTCCATCCCATCCATAATCAAGAGTCTCCCCTTACAATCCCGAGGCATAGATGAGAATTGACATGGACCACACCATAAATGATAGCATATGGCCTCCAAGGCAGATCCTGGTTCTTTTGAAGACTCTGTTACCGTATATACTCATGTACGAGGGTGGGTCAAAAAGTTTTGCCTCCTGTGTCATTAAAATGTTATAAATGAACATATAAAATCATAGAGTTGGAAGAGACCTCAAGAGATGGGTAGATAAACAGATGATAGCTAGACCAGTATACCGATTGATTGATTGATTGATCGATAGATAGATAGACAAATAGAGAGAGAGAGAGAGATAGGTGGATAAACACATGATAGCTAGATCAATACATTGATTGATAGATTGATAGATCGATAAATAGACAAAGAGAAAGAGAGAGATAGGTAGATAAACACATGATAGCTAGATCAATACATTGATTGATAGATTGATAGATCAATAGATAAACAGACAGACAGACAGAGATAATAAAGAGGTGGTTAGGCAGACAGACAGACAAATGGTAGATAGATAGATAGATAGATAGATAGATAGATAGATAGACAGACAGACAGAGGTAGATAAACACATGATAGCTAGATCAATAGACTGATGGATTGATTGGTCAATAGATAGACAAATAGATAGATAGATAGATAGATAGATAGATAGATAGATAGATAGATAGAAAGATGATAAATAATAGAGAGGTAGTTAGGCAGACAGACAGACAAATGGTAGACAGACAGACAGACAGAGACAGACAGACAGACAGACAGACAGACAGACAGACAGACAGACAGACAGATAGATAGATAGATAGATAGATAGATAGATATAGAGAGATAGGTAGATAAACACATGTTATCTAGATCAATAGACTGATAGATTGATTGATTGACAGACAGACAGACAGAAAGATAGATGATAGATAAATAATAGAGAGATGGTTAGGCAGGCAGATAGACAGACAAATATTAGACAGGCAGGCAGACAAACAGATGATAGCTAGATCAATAGACTAGATAGATAGATAGATAGATAGATAGATAGATAGATAGATAGATAGATGGTTAGAAAGACAGATAGACAGACAAATGGTAGATAGATAGATAGATAGATAGATAGATAGATAGAGGCAGATAAACAGATGATAGTTAGATCAATAGACTGACTGACTGACTGATTGATTGATTGATTGATTGATTGATTGATTGACAGACAGACAGAAAGATAGATGATAGATAGATAATAGAGAACTGGTTAGGCAGGCAGATAGACAGACAAATATTAGACAGGCAGGCAGATAAACAGATGATAGCTAGATCACTAGACATGATAGATAGATAGATAGATAGATAGATAGATAGATAGATAGATAGATAGATAGATAGATAGATAGATAGATAGGTGGTTAGAAAGAAAGATAGACAGACAAATGGTAGGTAGATAGATAGATAGATAGATAGATAGATAGAGGCAGATAAACAGATGATAGCTAGATCAATAGATTGATTGATTGATAGACAGACAGATGATAGATAGATAGTTGTTAAAGGTGGTTAGGCAGACAGATAGATAGACAAATGGCAGACAAACAGACAGATAGATAGATAGATAGATAGATAGATAGATAGATAGATAGAGGTAGATAAACAGATGGTAGCTACATCAATAGACTGATTGATTGACAGACAGATGATAGATAGATAGTTGTTAGAGATGGTTAGGCAGACAGATAGATAGACAAATGGGAGACGATAGATAGATAGATAGATAGATAGATAGATAGATAGATAGATAGAGGTAGATAAACAGATGGTAGCTAGATCAATAGACTGATTGATTGACAGATAGACAGACAGATGATACATAGTTGTTAGAGGTGGTTAGGCAGACAGATAGACAGACAAATGGCAGACAGACAGATAGATAGATAGATAGATAGATAGATAGATAGATAGATAGAGGTAGATAAACAGATGGTAGCTAGATCAATAGACTAATTGATTGATTGACAGACAGACAGATGATAGATGATAGAGAGGTGGTAAGGCAGACAGATAGACAAACAAATGGTAGAGAGAGGGGAGAGAGGGAGGGGGAGAGAGATAGGCAGATAAACAGATGATAGCTAGATCAATAGACTGATCGATTGACAGATAGATAGATAGATAGATAGATAGATAGATAGATAGATAGATAGATAGATAGATAGATAGTAGGGCTGGGCGGTTTCGTTTCGTTAATTCGTAATTCGTTAATAATTCATTTTTTTTCAATTACAAAACGATAACGAACCATTCTGGAGCAATTTTTTCAAAAAACGAATTTTTAAACGCGTTTTGTAAATGCTTCGTATTTCGTTATTGTATTCGTTTCGTTATTGTTCTGAGGTCGTTTCGTTATTATTTCCGCAGGTCTGGGGCAAGTTTTTTGTTTAATTAGTGAAAAAAAATTATAATATCACACCAACAGTCAACAACAGAGGGAGAGGGAAGCTTCAGAAGTTTTTGGAGGTTTTTTAGCGTATTTCGCGGTCGCGCCCGCCATTAACGAATTGATTCGTTATTGTTTCGGAAATCGATTCGTTAATGTTTTGTAATTTTTTTCACATTTACGAAATTTCGTAAATACCGAACTTTTTTAAGGGAAAATTTTGTAATTATTTTAAATATCGAAACAAAAAAACCCCCAAATACTAATCGATTTTAGAAACAAATTTTTCCGTTGTTACCCAGGCCTAATAGATAGATAGATAGATAGATAGATAGATAGATAGATAGATAGATAGATGATAGAGACGTGGTTAGGCAGACAGATAGATAGACAAACAAATGGCCTTTCAGTCCAACCCCATTCTGCCAAGAAGCAGGAAAATCATATTCAAAGGACCCCCGACAGATGGCCATCTAAGCTCTGTTTAAAAGCCTCCAAAGAAGGAGCCTCCACCACACTCCGGGGCAGAGAGTTCCACTGCTAAACAGCTCTCATAGCCAGGAATTCCTTCCTAATGTTCATGTGGAATCTCTTTTCCTGTAATTTGAAGCCATTGTTCCGTATCTTAGTCTCCAGGGCAGCGAAAACAAGCTTGCTCCCTCGTCCACATGACTTCCCTTCACATATGCAGTAGAGTCTCACTTATCTGACATAAACAGGCCGGCAGAACGTCAGATGAATGAAAATATCAGATGATACGGAGTCTCCCACCTCTCAACAAAGGATTCCCCCAGGCAGTAAGAAGCCACACCTTGAAAACTGCTAGGCCGTTAAATGCTAATTAAGGTGGCCGATTGAAAAAAGATTTATTTTAATTGCCTTGTATTGTGTCTGTTATTGCTTGCATTGATGTATTGTGGGCTTGGCCTCATGTAAGCCGCACCGAGTCCCTCGGGGAGATGGTAGCGGGGTATAAATAAAGTATTATTATTATTATTATTATTATTATTATTATTATTATTGCCTTAAAGAGACAAAAGTTCTTTCTCCCACCCTGGATATTCCATACATACATACATACATACATACATACATATATATATATACCCCATTTTCATAGTTTCCAACAGACCTCACAACCTCTGAGGATGCTTTGCCATAGATGTAGGCGAAACATCAGGAGAGAATGCTTCTGGAACATGGCCAGAGAGTCTGAAAAACTTACAGCAACCCAGAAAAAGAAGAAATAGTCAACTTAGACATGAGTCTATATGGTAGTTCACATTTCTGCTCTGTCGTGATGGCCTCCCACTCTGCAAGAGAACATCACTGATGTGCCATAATGGGCGCTTTCCCAGCATTAATGCTAGATAATACCTGCAAAGCTTTTCAGACTCTTGACAGCGATATGCCAGGCTAATTTTTGTAATTGATGCCTTCATTTTTATATTGCAACATTATGTTTCTGTGGAGTTTTTGAAAGAAAAGAATGATTTATGGATTGAGCTGCCACGAGGGAAGGGTATGTGTAGCATAACTAAGAAACAGAAGTGGCAACAAATTGGAGTTGAGCATCCCAGTGTTCTCTCTTCTTTTTCTAGGCGAGTGCAGCTGTCACAATGGCTACTCCCCCGATCCTGTCCATCGGCATCTATGTGTGCGCAATGACTGGGGGCACAGTGAAGGGTAAGTGCAAGGAACCTTTTCTTTACTGTAGACCCTTTTAAATATGAGGGTGGAATGAAAAGTAATGCCTCCACCTTCTTACCTCCTCAACAGAATGCAGTACTGGTATGCAGCAGGTACTGGCTTGTTCAGTAGACTCTCCTCTACAGTTTCATTTTAGCAGGAAGCCTTACCATTGAATGGTTGTGTTGTTAAAGTGCAAAGTATGGAACCCTACGCAGAGGGTCGGTCAATGCGACTTAAGCAACGTGCAGTCATTGAATTCTTGACAGCGGAAGGTGTCACCCCAAAGGAGATTCATGAGAGAATGCAAGCTTTGAGTGCAACAAGCCAGCAGCACTTAACCTTTTCTTTACTGTAGACCCCTTTAAATATGAGGGTTGAATGAAAAGTAATGCCTCCACCTTCGTAACTCCTCAACAGAATGCAGTACTGGTATGCAGCAGGTACTGGCTTGTTCACTAGACTTTCCTCTACAGTTCTATTTTGGTGGGAAGAGTTAGCATTGAATGGTTGTGTTGTTTGGCAGGAATCCTTAGCATTGATCCCCCCTCCTATGTGGGGTCCCCCAAGGTGCCGTTCTCTCTCCTCTTCTCTTCAACATCTACGTTAGACCCCTTGCTAGTTTGGCTCGGAGTTTTGGCCTGGAGTGCTACCAATATGCGGACGATACCCAACTCCTTCTGCGCCTGGAGCAACGCCAATTCCAGACAATTTCACCCTATCTCTGGAAGCTCTGTCGAACTGGCTACGTGCTAGCAGACTGAAGGTGAACCCGGTGAAGACTGAGATTCTCTGGCATGGCCGCCCGGCAGATCTGACTCCTCCATTACCCACCTTCGATGGTGCCGCCCTATCTCCATCAACTGCTGTTAAGAGCTTAGGTGTCATCCTGGATTCGCCGCTGACAATGGAAGCTCAAGTCACTGCTGCCAGCAAACAGACCTTTTTCCATCTACGACAAGCGAGGTAACTGGCACCCTACCTATCTGACGAGGTTCTGGCAACTGTCATCCATGCCATGATCAAGTCTAGGCTGGACTATTGCAATGTCCTGTATGTTGGACTTCCGATGTCTAACACCTGAAAGCTCCGTATAGTTCAGAATGTGGCAGCCAGGTTACTCACAAGAATGCCCATGAAATGCCATATAACATCAGTGCTGCAACATTTAAATTGGCTTCCAACGGAGTACCGTGGCCTGTATAAGATGTTAGTTCTGACCTTTGAAATTCTTTACGGCCAGGGTCCATCGTACCTTAGGGACTGCCTCTCCTTCTCCCATCATCGGAGGTCGCAACGACCAGCCCAACGTGACTTACTCCATATACCGTGTCCTAGAGAAGTGCACTTGGAAATTACCAGACGCAGGGCTTTTTCTATTTCTGCCCCTGCCTTGTGGAATTCCTTGCCGCTCTATATGAGAGCCATGTGTGACTTAAGGCCTTTTACTCTAGCACTTAAGACCTGGCTTTTTACTAGAGCATTCGATCTCTGTTGATTTTTAAATTCTGTATGTATGTATTTTATCTTTTACAATTTAGCTGTAAATCGCCGAGAGCATTCTCGGATGGAGGGCGATTAATAAGTAATTAAATATGATGATGATGATGATGATTGAATGGTTGTGTTGTTAAAGTGCAAAGTATGGAACCCTGCGCAGACAGTCGATCAATGCGACTTAAGCAACGTGCAGTCATTGAATTCTTGACAACAGAAGGTGTCACTCCAAAGGAGATTCATCAGAGAATGAAAGCTGTTTATGGCAATTGTGTTGATGTGAGTACTGTGCGTCGTTGGGTGAGTAAGTTTAAATTTGTTGAGGTGGGAACGCCTGACTTGTGTGATAAGCAAAGAGATGGGCGTCTTGTGGCCACACACTTCACATGCCACCACAGCAGAACTTCAGAGGCTGGATCTCATCACTGTATGGCATCCTCCATACAGTCCATCTGTTCCCAATAATGAAAGAAGATCTGCGGGGACATAATTATGCTTTTGATGAAGACGTTGAGTGAACGTGAGACTCTGGTTATAGAAACAGTGTGTCGACTTCTTCCACGACGGCTTCAGAAAACTTGTTAATCATTGGCAGAAATGTATCCAATTGTCTGGTGATTATGTGGAAAAGCGAATAGTTGTAGTTAAAGAACACATTCTAAGGATTATTTCTGTGTTTGATTTATTAAAATATTCTCATCCAAACCCAAGTAATGAAGGTGGAGGCATTACTTTTCATTCAACATTCGTACCTTTTGTTGCCATGGACCGCAAAGACTTGCGATTTAAAACTCCAAAGTGCATCAGATATTAATTAAGGATTTTCCAATTTGGAGACAAGGGAGAAATAAATGATGCACATACTCTTGTTGTAGTACGTTTGTTGGAGTGATTGCATGCGAATATAGTAATGCTACCAACAACAACAATAGCAACAACACCTGAACATTGAACCCCGGCTTAATAGTGCTTGTACATTTCAATTTTGTTGCCATGGACCACAAAGACTTGCGGGTTGAAGCTCTGAAATGCATCAAATATTAATTCAAAGTATCTCATTAAGAATTTTCCAATTTGGAGACAAGGGAGAAATAAATGGATGCACGTACTCCTGTTGTAATATGTTTGTTGGAGGGATTGCATGCAAATATAGTAATGCCGACAAAAACAACAGCAGCACCCAAACATTCAACCATGGCTTAATAGTGCTTGTTCATTTCAATTAATACAATTAATTAATTTATTAATTAATACAATTACTGAGAAGGCTGGTGTTGCAATTCACTCACAAGCCTAGTTGTATTGGGCTTAATTACTGAAACTTGCATTCTTTCTGATTTCTTTTCAAAAGGATGCTAATGCTATGTTATGAATAACTTCAATAACTTTAAACTCAAGGTTCTTTTTATTGCTAAAAGGGTTGAATGAAAAGTAATGCCTCTACCCTCGTAACTCCTCAAAAGATGGCAGTACTGGTATGTGACAGGTACTGGTTTGTTCAGTAGACTCTACTCTACAGTTCCATTTCGGCGGAAAGCCTTAGCATTGAATGGTTGTGTTATTAAAGTGCAAAGTAGGGAACCCTGTGCAGACAGTTGGTCAATGCGACTTAAGCAACGTGTAGTCATTGAATTCTTGACAGCAGAAGGTGTCACCCCAAAGGAGATTCATCACAGAATGCAAGCTGCTTATGGTGATTGTGTTGATGTGAGTACTGTGTGTCGTTGGGCAACTAAGTTTAAAGATGTTGAGGTGGGAACATCTGATTTGCATGACAAACAAAGAGTTGGGCATCCTGTGACAGCAACCACCGAGTTTCACAAGCAAAAGGTTGACAGATTGATTCAGGATGATCTCCTATTCATGGTGATTGTGTTGATGTGAGTACTGTGTGTCGTTGGGCAAGTAAGTTTAAAGATGTTGAGGTGGAACATCTGACTTGTGTGACAAATAAAGAGTTGGGCGTCCTGTGACAGCAACCACCGAGTTTCACAAGCAAAAGGTTGACAGATTGATTCAGGAGGATCGTCTATTTATAGTTATTGTGTTGATGTGAGTACTGTATGTCATTGGGCAAGTAAGTTTAAAGATGTTGAGGTGGGAAATCTGACTTGCATGACAAAGAGTTGGACGTCCTGTGACAGCAACCACCGAGTTTCAGAAGCAAAAGGTTGACAGACTGATTCAGGACAATCGTCGTATCACTCAGAGAGAAATTTCAAGCATAATCAGTATTTCACAACAACGTGTGGGTTATATTATTGCTTTGCTTGGCTATCAGAAGATTTGTGCATGATGGGTTGTGGAAACAAAGTGTCAACTTCTTCCGTGACGTCTTTAAATAACTTGTTAATTGTTGGCAGAAATGTATCCAATTGTCTGGTGATTATGTGGAAAAGTTAATGGTGGTACTTAAAGAGCTCATTCTAAGGATTATTTCTGCATTTGATTTATTAAAATATTCCCATTCAAACCCAAGTAACGAAGGTGGAGGTATTATTTTTCATTCAACCATCGTATTTTCCAGTAAAGGGAAGGGTATCAGAATTCTACACAACGAATGACATTGGACATACCGGCATACAGATTCTGTCTAGCTACATTGAATACACAAACAACCTACAGTTACATTGACTAAAAAAAACAAAGGGGGATTACATTTTTACTCCGCATTTACATTATCCATACACTTTCATTCATCCTCATTCATCCAAATACAACTATATTTTTTCTCACTCTTTGGAGAACCTGCTTAGGCCAGGCCTTACTTTCCCTGCAGCCTGCCAACACACAGTTCCAAAACTTCCAAAATGCCAAATTGCATCCTCTTTCCCTAAGAACAATGCCAAGGATCAGATCCCTGTTTTCTCTTCAGCAGAAACTGACTCCCTGCACTAAAATCACACTCCTTTCTCTTCCCTTGAGACCTGACATTCCCAAGGTACACCATCTCTTTCAAAAGAGCACGGTGGGTGAATAGCACTGCTGTTTGTCACACTTGAGAATTATTAGATTGAGTCTTTTATAGGAATATTCTGCTGATATTGCTCCAGAATTGTAAATCATTGATAGATGTTTTCTAAGGCTGAAAAAAATCCTGGCTTCATCTCAGTTCCTGGCTAATGTTGATTTTACTTAACTGGTGTTGGTAAACGTAAGGAGCCTTGTGTTGACTTCCTTCTTAACGTAAGGAACCTTATAAACATTTCCTTAACTTAAAGAGCCATTGTTTCTGGAAATGTAAATATGTTGTTTCCCCCCCAAAGCTCAACAGTTAATCATTGTCACAGTTCTCATCCACAACTTTTAATTACAATTAATTATTATTTATTTATTTATTTATTTATTTATTTATTTATTTAGAGTTTTTATAACCCGGTCTTCTCAACCTCCGGAGAGGGACTAAGGCCAGCTAACAACAGAGGATTCAATACAATAAGATAAAATATATATCATCAATATAAAATACATTAAAATACAATTCATACCATTTACAAAAAAGTCAGTTCGTCAGAGTGAAATCACAAATTACAAATTCATCGCCATCCGCCAGTAGGTCAACAGTTATTGACTCAGTCATCAATCTGCAAATGCAGTGTCCCAAAGCCATGATTTTACCAGCTTTCTAAAAGTTAGGAGGGAAGAGGCAGATCTAATCTCCATCAGGAGGGAGTTCCAGAGCTGAGGGGCCACCACTGAGAAGGCCCTGTCCCTCGTTCCCACCAAGCGCGATTGCGAAAGAGGTGGGATCGAGAGCAGGGCCCCTCCAGAAGATCTTAACAACCTTGATGGTTCCTAGGGGAGAATCTGTTCGAACAGGTAAATTGGGCCGGAACCGTTTAGGGATTTATAGGTCAACACCAGCACTTTGAATTGTGCTCGGAAGCTGATTGGCAGCCAGTGGAGCTGACGCAACAGAGGAGTCGTATGCTCACTGTACCCCACTCCTGTTAGTAGTCTGGCTGCCGCTCGTTGGACTAGTTGTAGCTTCCGGGCAGTCTTCAGAGGCAACCCCACGTAGAGAGTGTTGCAGTAATCTATACGGGATGTAACCAGAGCGTGTACCACCATGGCCAAGTCAGACTTCCCAAGGTACGGGTGCAGCTGGCACACAAGTTTTAATTGTGCAAAAGCTCCCCTGACCACCGCCGAGACCTGGGGTTCCAGGCTCAGCAATGAGTCCAGGGTCACTCCCAAGCTGCGAACCTGCGCCTTCAGGGGGAATGAATTCTTCACCTCCGTCTTGTAGTTTTCCAGGCCTCCAATCTTTAGAATGGTATCTCCAAAATTATTAGCTCTCAGTAAATCATTCCTTTCATTCAGTTTATTCATGTTAAATCCACATTTATCAAAACTGCACATTATTCTAATATGAGTCCTATACTTATTTTTAAGATAAATGGAATCAGAGAAGACATTTTCACACAAATCTATCTATCTATCTATCTATCTATCTATCTATCTATCTATCTATCTATCTATCTATCTATCTTTCTACTGTAAAAGCTCATAACATTTTTTAAGCCTTTGCAGATCCCTTGTGAGCCCATTGTGAGGTCCATGGAAGACATTAATAAGACAATAAATATAATTAAATATAGATAGTATGATGCTGCGGCATACTATCATAAATAAGTAGCAGTATTATGGAAGGAAATTGGTGAATATTTTATCAAGATGAGAACCAATAAGTTACATTGAATGGTGTCGTTATAAAAGATGGAATAGATTTCCTGCAACCTCACTTAGTTCATAAATTTCTCTGAGTGATTTCTGTGCATCCCATGTACTTTCCTTCATTCTGGATTTCTTTTAGACCGTGGCCCTATACAACCCTTGAAAGAGGCTATGACTTGGTTACCGGAGAACAAGCACCCGAAAAAATACTTAGGTGAGTCATTCAGTATCTTTGGTTGGGAAACTGGGCCACCACAGAAGTTGTTAGGTGACGTCATTACATCTGTTGCATGATATCAATCTGTCCTGGAGAACAAGCCCTATGAGGAGCGGCTTAAGGAGCTGGGCATGTTTAGCCTGAAGAAGAGAAGGCTGAGAGGAGATATGATAGCCATGTATAAATATGTGAGAGGAAGCCACAGGTAGGAGGGAGCAAGCTTGTTTTCTGCTTCCTTGGGGACTAGGACACGGAACAATGGCTTCAAACTACAAGAAAGGAGATTCCATCTGAACATGAGGAAGAACTTCCTGACTGTGAGAGTCGTTCAGCAGTGGAACTCTCTGCCCCGGAGTGTGGTGGAGGCTCCTTCTTTGGAAGCTTTTAAACAGAGACTGGATGGCCATCTGTCAGGGGTGATTTGAATGCAATATTCCTGCTTCTTGGCAGGGGGTTGGACTGGATGGCCCATGAGGTCTCTTCCAACTCTTTGATTCTATGATTCTATATAAGAACAAGGCAGTTCTGGGCAGTTCGTGTTTCCTTGCTTGGCTGCCTTTCATGGTTAGGCCACTTTGGAGCCATAGAATCATAGTATTGGAAGTTTCATTTATTTTTCACACCTCACAATATATGTCCCCCTCAGCATTTTCTAAGTCCTCCAACTCTGTGTTGTAGATCAGCCAGAGGTTGATGGTTTAACTGATGATTTAGAGAAGATTGTGGGCTTTCCTGTGGCCTTCAAGTCTGGGAAATGATGTTTCTCTGTGAAAAAAATGGCTTGGAAAATGCAGGGCCTCAAGTTACAGAGGAGCCAGAAGTAGCAACAGCAGATAAGGAATCAAGCAGCTCTATGGAATTCCAAAAAACAATGTGCTTTCCTGTTGGCATCATTCTTGCCTTCTCTTCCTGTCTTTCCTTTCTTTGAAGGTCCACCTACAGCCTGGGCCAGGGCCTCTGGCTTCCCGTCAGCAAGAGCTTTGTGGTGCCTCCGGTTGAACTTTCAATCAATCCGTTGGCCAGCTGCAAGACAGATGTCCTTGTGACGGAAGATCCAGCTGATGTCAGGTAAGAACATGTACTCTGGATGAGGAGAACTTGCAGTTACCTTCATGAGGTTTCCAAACTGGAGCAGCATAAGCTTCTCTCTCTCTCTCTCTCTCTCTCTCTCTCTCTCTCTCTCTTTTGCCTTGCTTTCTCTCTGCACAGAGCTGTCCTTTTCTTGCCTCTTCTAGAATTTCAGCCTGAGGAACCTTGGTCAATGAGAGACATACCTTTAATCCATCAGGGGACAATCTGTGGGTCCTCTGATGGTATGGCCTTCAACTCTCAGAGAGCCTAATAACTGGTAAACTTGGATTTCTGGGAGTTGTAGTCCAAAACATTGGGTAACCACAGGTTGAGAACCACCTATTTGGATTCTTCTGATTGAGCTCAGCCTTTTCCCCTTGACCTGGTCCATGATCTGGTGGGAAGCAGCACCTTTTCAGGGAACCTCATCTTGGGAAGCCAGGACATGAAGAGCAACAGATCCAGATGTGCAAATTAAAGGAGAATAAATAAGGAGCAACTGAGCACTTCCATGACATGCCGCAAATGTTAAATTATTCAAAATTTAATAAATGTGGTAATGAATATTTGATGTTGAATTATGGAAGGCTCCACAAATACGTTGGGAACCCAAGAGCTCATTACATCTGCATTAGAACGCAAGCTCCCCTTAGACGGTGATCAGTCTGTTGGATCAGGATGTTTGGCGCCCCATGATAGATGCAACTGGTACAGTTTGTAATGTTTACTCCATCTGCTGCTGATGTTGCTTGCCTTCAAGTCAGTTTCAACTTATGGTGACCCTATTGTAGGCTTTCCTTGGCCAGATTGAATTGGAGATAGTTAGCTATTGCCTTCTTCTGAGGATAAGAGAACACAGCTTGCTCAAACAGTAGGATAAATTTGTTTAACTCCATGTCCTGCTTGTGGATTTCTCATAGGGCATCTATGAACTAGACAGACCTTGACTTGATCCGTTAGGCTTTTCTTAATGTCATTTGTCCTAACGTTTTGCTTGAATACAAAACTTAATGTTAAAACTTCTTGCAGCTTGCCCATGATTGTCATGAATAACTTTTCAATAAAGTATAGGCTCTTTTTATTGTAATTTTCCAGTAAGAAAAAGGGTATCAGAAGAGGGAAGAAAGAAGGGAAGGGAGTGGGGGAGAGAAGGAAGGTCCTTCATTCAAGCACCGTCGACCTTCCTCTCCACCTTCTCCTCCTCCTCCCCTTCTTCCTTGCCTGGGGGCTCCGCTGCTGCCGCTGCCACTCATCTGCCCCTTCCTCTTCCAACAGGGAAAGGAGGAGGAGGAGGAGGAGACTGCTCTCCTGACATAGCAGGGAAGGAGAAGGGGCTCCATGCGGCAAGCCTCCACCTCCACTCCCATGTTGCCCACTCTCTCGTGTGTGTGTGTGTGTGTGTGTGTGGCTGTGCATGCACGCCTGGCTCCTCATGCTTTAACGGCCGGCTGTTTCCCCACGAGGAGGAGGGGGCGTAACCATGGGTCACTTTCTAGGTATGTGTTTCTCCTTTGTGGACATGCAGTTTAGAAGTCCTTTCTGCTTTTTGTTTTTGTTACTCTTTTGAGTGAAGGACATTCATTGGGTTGATATATGTATCGTGTCCAAATTTGGTGTCAATTCCCCCAGTGGTTTTTTGAGTTCTGTTAATCCCACAAACGAACATTACATTTTTATTTATATAGATTCACACATATATACACATTCATTCATCCTCATGCATACATCACAATTTCACCATGAAGAACATCTCTTAGGCCAGACTGCTTTCTTGCAAATCTGCCAACGCATAGTTCCCAAACTCCTAGACTTCAAAATGCCAAAACACACCCTTTCCCTAAACACAAAGCCAAGGATCAGAACCCTGTTTTCCAGAACCTGACTCCCTGGACAAAATCCAAAAGTCCAAAATCACACTCTTTTTCTCTTCCCTTGAGAAAAGGAGTCGAGTGTCCAGAACCTTGCTTTCCCATAGCACAGTGGTTCTCAACCTGGGGTCCCCAGATGTTTTTGGCCTACAACTCCCAGAAATCCCAGCCAGTTTACCAGCTGTTAGGATTTCTGGGAGTTGTAGGCCAAAAACATCTGGGGACCCCAGGTTGAGAACCACTGCCATAGCAGATCTGACACTCCCAAGGTACACCACCTCTCTCCTTCTCATGGAGAAGAGCACAGTGGGTGGATAGCACCGTTGTCTGTCACTCTTTTTGGAATATTAGAAGGTCCCTTCTAATAGCAGTATTTCTTGCTGATGTTGTTCCAAGGTTGTAAATGAATGATAGATATTTTTCCAGCCTGAATCATCCTGGCTTCATCTCAGTTCCTGTACAGATGTTGACTCTCCTTAATTAGTGTTGTAAACATAAGCAGCCTTGTGTTGACTTCCTTCTTAATGTAAGGAATCATGTAAACATTTCCTTAATGTAAAGAGCCATTGTAACTGATTAATGTAAATATATTGTCAAAGGCTTTCATGGCCGGAATCACTGGGTTATTGTAGTTTTTTTCGGCCTATATGGCCATGTTCTAGAGGCATTTTCTCCTGACGTTTTGCCTGCATCTATGGCAAGCATCCTCAGAGGTAGTGAGGTCTGTTGGAACTAGGAAAAAGGGTTTATGTATCTGTGGAATGACCAGGGTGAGACAAAGGACTCTTGTCTGCTGGAGCTAGGTGTGAATGTTTCAACTGACCACCTTGATTAGCATATAATGGCCTGACAGTGCCTAGAGCAAACTTTTGTTGAGAGGTGATTAGATGTCCTTGTTTGTTTCCTCTCTGTTGTTGTGCTGTTGTGATATTAGAGTTTTTTAATACTGGTAGCCAGACCACTCTCACAACCACCATTTCAGACTACACAGTGAAGCCATTGAAATCCACAAGCATGTGGACAATTTCAACAGAAAGGAAGAGACCATGAAAATGAACAAAATCTGGCTACCAGTATTAAAAAATTACAACAGCACAACAACAGAGAGGAAACAAACAAGGACATCTAATCACCTCTCAACAAAAGTTTGCTCTAGGCACTGTCAGGCCATTATATGCTAATCAAGGTGGTCAGTTGAAACATTCACACCTTGCTCCAGCAGACAAGAGTCCTTTATCTCACCCTGGCCATCCCACAGATACATAAATCTTTTTTCCTAGTTCCAACAGACCTCACTATCTCTGAGGATGCTTGCCATAGATGCAGGCAAAATGTCAGGAGAGAATGCCTCTAGACCATGGCCATATAGCCTGAAAAAACCTACAACAACCCAGTAAATATATTGTTTCCCCCCAAAAGTTCAACAGTTAATCATTGTCACAGTTCTTATCACGGTTTACTAGGCAGGTCAACCATTTCAGTTCTCATTAGCAGGTTTTAATTACAATTCCTGAGTGTAGCTGTTTTCCAAGATTCTAAGAATGTTAGAATTATGTCTTCAGCCGAATTAGGCCCCACTCATACAATTCCATTCAAACCATATATCATATTTCATCATGACATGATGTCCATACAGTAGTTTCTTGTGGATTTGTTTTCCACATATGTACGGAATTGTATGCTTCCCGTGGCTGCTCTTTGACACTACTGGGGCATTCCTGTTTCTTCCTCGATAATCTGCTAGTAGATGTTGGCTCCCCTTTTTTCTTCGTCTGCATCCTCAGTCACAGTGAGCATACCATGTTCCTCCTGTCCACTTATTAGCCTGACACTGTTGCCTGAGGGGTCACTCTTCCTGGAGATTTTAATGGAGGAAAATTGTTAAGCATCTGCTGAGTTGGAAACCTTTATGGCTCTTGGGGGTAAGGTCTCGGCATGGCTCTTGTCTCTTAATGAAGTTGTCTTGAGCACAGAAGAGATCCGCAGCGAGGGCAGCGAGGGATGGTGCTCTGCTTTAGTGCCACTTCCAGTAAATAATTCTGTTTCATAAAGCTAGGGGCATTTTCAAAATATTGTGTGCTTGCCTGCAACAGAGGAAAGGAATGCTAGAACTATGTTGAGAGTAGGATTGTACACGGAACCGTTTTAGCCATTTTTCTCGGGACAATTCAGCTTCTTCGGCTGGGTCGGGTCACCGTAATGGCAAGGGCCCAGATGTCATGGATTCCTATATAGAACCATGGTGGCACGTGTTAAACCCTTGTGCTGCCTGGACTGCTGACCTGAAGGTTGGGTTGCAACCTGATGGTTGCCAGTTCAAATCCGCGAGATGGGGTGAGCTCCCGCCTGTCAGTCTAGCTTGCCTCCCAGCAGGATGGTAACACGTTCGGGCATCCCCTGGGCAACGTCTCTGTAGATGGCAAATTCTCTCACACCAGAGGTGTTTGTTTATAAAGCTACTAGCGGTCCCCTGCCATGCGTTGCTGTCAGAGGTGGCCCTAGGTAATTTTCAACGGTAATCAAACAGTATTTTGGCATGCCCCCCCCCCAACCAATCATTGATAAATATTTTCTGTTCGTCGTGGGAGTTCGGTGTGCCATAGTTGGTTCAATTCCATCATTGGTGGAGTTCAGAATGCTCTTTGATTTAGGTGAACTATACATCCCAGTAGGAGCCCCCGGTGGTGCAGTGGGTTAAAGCACTGAGCTGCTGAGCTTGTTAATCGAAAGGTCACAGGTTCGATTCCGGGGAGCGGCGTGAGCTTCCGCTGTCAGCCCTAGCTTCTGCCAACCTAGCAGTTTGAAAACATGCAAATGTGAGTAGACCAATAGGTACCGCTCCGGCGGGAAGATAACGGTGCTCCATGCAGTCATGCCGGCCACATGACCTTGGAGGTGTCTATGGACAACGCTGGCTCTTCGGCTTAGAAATGGAGATGAGCACCACACCCTAGAGTCAGACATGACTAGACTTAATGTCAGGGGACTACCTTTACCTTTACCTATACATCCCAGTAACTACAACTTGCATATGCCAAAGTCTATTTTCCCCCAAGAGTGCCTCAAGAGCGCCCCTGGGCAAAATCAACTATACTGCGAATGCTTACTTTGCGTAATGGGTTGAGCTGC